AAGGACCTTGCTGCCGGCGGGAAGGCGTCTGTCAACTCGTCCAGACCTTCGGAATTTTGCGACAGCACATGTCCTGTTGCGGAGTCTCCCGCCTTGTGCAACTGGGCAAAACCCTGCTCGCAACTCCCTTGCGAACTCGATGCTTTTTTTTTCGTGGTCGATCCCCAAATCACCATGTCATCAAGCGGGTGTCGCTCAAATTGCTTATCAGGCCCTACCTTGGCTAGGCACTGCCATGCAGTAACGCTACAACGCTACCATTAAGTGTGGGGATTAGGTTGTCGACAACGTGAACTCTGAATTCTAAGACGAAGAAGAAGAAGCGGACTTTGACTTTCCAATCTCCCGGGCTTCGGAAATGTTAAGTAAGGTAGATGATGCATAAGGCCAGCATTAGCAGGCTTCATGCCTGCTCACCACTTGAGGTATCAGGCTGAATGGGGTAATTATAGACTCGACATCAAACCATGTCGGAGGCTGCATTTCCGTCCAATCACATGATTTGAAGATTGGAAGATTTTCACACGTTGCAGCATCACGCCTGACCGTTGCAGCAGCATGGAAGTAGGCAAAGGGTCTGCCTGTACGCTACGGAGCACTCCTATCATACACCCTCTGCATCGCCGATTGCAACATGGTCCACTACACGGAGAAGGGCACCGAGTTTTACCTCAAAGCGGACTCTAAGAAATTGCGCAACGGCGAAAGCATGCAGAACATCTGACCAACGCCCAACGGGACGAGTCGTAGCGCTGTCACCACATCTTGAAATCGATCGGATGAATGCGTAGTTGTCATCAGATTATACACATCCACTCCAAATCGGATAAAGAAGAACTTGTTGGCCGCCGGTGAAGATGGAGGCTGGGGAGTTTATTCCCATTAACCGCGGGGTTGGATGTCATTGCTACATGTTGGACATCTAAAACAGGCTCCTCCGAAAGATTTTGAGAGAAGAGAGTCCCGCAATAATCCCGGTGATTGGCCGTGGGGTGAATGTGAAGACACGATTGGTGGGTGGGAGATAGAAATAGCAGAGGGGAAAGAGTTGGTACTTCGCAGAGAGCAAAAGAAAAGGCTTTGCACCTAATCTACGTGTCTGATGTACCTCGTAGGCTAGTGCTAGTGACAGAATAAGGTAAGGCTACAAGTCTGTCTTGGTCGAATCGGCTTCCTCCGTATTGGGATTGAGATGTTGGTGGCAAGCGGGAAGAAGGACACGTGCAGCCTTAGTCCTACATTAGCGTATCATACCGTTTCTTACAATACACTGGTAGTGTGAAAGTATTGCTGACAGGGGGGCTGATGATCTGGTACACGTTTCAGGTTTCCTGACTGCCAAGGGGGTGGGCTGAGAACAATGCTGCTGTCAGTTCATTGGCTTCCAGATTGTCATCAGTAGCACATGAATCATCGGGCGGTGCCTACCTGCAGGAACGATGCGGACGCCTGCATGTCCCCCACGGATGCTATGCTCACACTACGACGCAAATCGTTTCAGGTTCCTGGCTCATGAATGAACGTCGGCTTTTTATCACTACCAGACTGCTCTACATTTCGCATGTCGACGAATCATCTGACACCAGTCTACAACTTGCGGGCGAAGAGTACATTCGCCATCCCAACCAAGGATATGTCCGCCACTACCCCTCCTTCACCGACTTCTAGGTCCCTTCTCGATCGATGTCGATGAAACGTGAGATCAACAGCCATCGACCTCAACCAGGCAACTTTATCATAGCTCCCTAGTCTCTACCCTAAAGTGACCTCAGCTGCCAACATCAACATGAACTTTCTCATCCTTCGCCCACACCGCAGCGAGGGAAACCAACAATTGGCTGGTGCGCTGATACGGCAGCGAGCACGACATAACCAACAGTGGCTTACTGCCTTCCCGAACCCTAATTCTGATACGCTGATAGCTTATTGAGTCCGAGGTTCAAACTGAAAGTCGGCGCGTGTCCCCGCAGTCAGACACGGACCGTCTCAACATCTTCAGCTGCAGTCCTTGATCACAGAGGGATAGGAATAGAAAATCATAAGGTACCTACTTGGCCCCAACAAGGCGATACAACCGCAATTTCGGCGAGTCGCAACAATTACCCTTTTGTCCTCAAGGCTGTTAACAAACTTTGCAAAAGTGCCCCTGGTCAGGAACCACGTGAGAAGAGTGCCACCAGCATGCTGATCGGTCGAAGCTTGCTACATGCCACATCGGAGAAGATCGAATCAGCGCTTTTCCTACCCCTCCTTTACCGCTCACACAAGTCTGAAACGTATGTACCCTCCGGTACAAACAGGCGTGTCGATCTGCAGCGCCCAGCATTGCACAGACTGTTGATCCGGAAATTCGGCTAAATATATACGCTAGCACCGCCGAACCCTACCTTAATCGTCGTCGTTGTTCCCCTCGGCCTCATGTGGGGTACTAGTACGTACTCGTACCTACCCGACTTCTTCCTCGTTAGTGGTTCGCGCAAAAAAATGCTCCAAGTGGTATGTACACCAAGGAGTTCTACAGCGGGAGCGAGCATCTGCGTAGTCGGGCTCCCTCGAGTACGAGGGAGGGATCGTCTGATACCAGCCAGCCAGCCAGCCCCTTCGTTGGCGATTCCGAAAAACTCTAATGCTCCTTCGTTACCGCTTTACGAGATACATCAAAAACACGCCATTTTTCTTGCGTCCGAGGCACCACTCTGGCCAAGGTCTAACATATGGATCAGACTTAACAGTACCTGATACCAGGGGTGAATGCCGCTCAGTCTGGAGGTAACCATGGCTATTCCCAAGTAACGTAGCCAATAGGTCCAATTCGACGACGCTACTTCTACACGATACTACCTCACGAGGTCCACTTATTTGTGGCTATCGCAGGTTCTTCTCCTTGGTCACGAATTGAGGAACCGGGCGTACCCGATGACGGCCCCCAACGGTAGCACCGGTACAACATGGAGATTTGGAATTCCTTGCGAGCTTCCAGACCACAGTTTCACCCCAAAATCCTCGGCCCTTCGCCAAGATCCATCCCGATGCCTTCCGCTAAGGGTCCCAAATTCTAGAACGGTACACGAAAAACTGACCCAATTACGACGTACGGAGAAGGCTTGCGTCGTATAGCCCTCTGACTCTGTTCGCTCGAACTGCATCGTACTGCTCAACCGGATAGGGGATCTTTAGTTCTTGGCTTACGATTGAGATGCCGGAAGACGGAAATTTTATGAACGGTCAAGAGGGACGAGGCTGTCACCACCCGTTTCGGCCCTGTTGCCTTCGATACGAGACCTCAGATCATAGCCTCATCACGATACGAGCACTCGCAGCGATCGAGCCTCTATTGCAGATATAGGTAAAGATTGGCTCAAAATCGAGGTCACATCAAGTCCTGATAGCCCCAAAAGTCCACTCTTCCAGTACAATTTTTCCGTGAGAATGCAAAACTGAATGCTTTGGAGATGGAGGGTGGTCCTCATGGCCATTATTCTCTCCCAAGGAGATTCTTGACTCGTTACTCTGCCTTCGAGCCTTTTCCGTTTTCTCGAATACCTAGCACTAGCTACTGTCGACCTCAGACCAATGATGAACGTTTTCTTTTAGCTACTCCTTTTAGTGGACAGTGCACGCATCGTGCGAGGGTTCCGCGCGTTCGAAATTATGCTGCCCATCCGAGAAAGTAAGAGTTGCGTTAAGAACCAACCACACAAGGGCCGATCACAGACCCAAGTCATGCATTGCGTGAAACCTTCCAGCGGCCGAGAAGCTTTTTGGACGTATAGCACAGCTTCTGAAATACGCATACAACCAGGAAAAGGCTTTGCACTCGGCATTCTGATCGATGTACAGGCGTACCACACTCAGACACGAAGGCGACTCACTCCGTGCCAGAACAGTACGCAGGGTGCTGTTTCATGTTGCATCCACACCATGCAGAGTCATGCCGATACAGAACGCTTCTAGCCCGCTTGTGAACTTCTGTGATGAAAGGCGCATAGCTAATGATCTAGTCATGAGCAAGATGGGCTTCTGCAAGGATATCCTAATCTTCTCCGAAGACAACGGTCGTAGGTAATGAGAACTACAGAGATTGCGCGCAGTCTGATTGACCTCTGTTTTTGAGTACGAGGGACCCTCCAATGAACATCCATGACTCTCCATCGCCGACGCCTAGCATGCGCATCCCGCTTGACGTCCTACAAACCACACCAACGTGCCTCGCCGGCGGAGGCACGCCCTTCAATGGCGTAAATCTATCCAGGAACCCCCAAGACCCTGCAAGAAACCAACCCAGACTCGAAAACTCCCAGCTAGGACTTCGGCGCGAACCCTCAAAGCCATCGCCTTTGCCCTTGAGGGAGCGGGGCGGGATGTGGCGAACACTGTAACGTCAAAACCAGATAAGGAACGTTCGATTATCAAACGGGGGGATCCTTGCGGAGCTGCGGCCCCCCCCCCAGAACAATCACCGCGTGCGCCCCGCAGGCTGCCTTTTCGGCGGAGCGGCGGTTTCAGATGTTTGAGGATCGACCTTTCGGGCGGTGCGAGGGCTCGCAAGCTTGGACCGATTGCGGATCGGGGGGGCGTTTGCTGAGGGAAGATGGATATCTTGCCGTTTTGACGGGTTGAAGGGGTGGTGCGGATAGATGGATGCGTGATTTTGTGCAGTGGTCAGTGTTGGGAATGGGATCTTTGGGAGGAGGTTGAGATGTGAGGACTGTAGGGGGAACGGTGCGGGTGAGTTTGCTGTGGGAGTCTTACAAGGCAGAGACATTTTGAGTACGATTTAAGGGTATCTAAAGAGGAATGTTGTTTCTATTAGGCTTCAAATCTCATTGATTGACCATCATGGCATCTCCACCGTAGTCGATGCTATCCTTATCTATCTCGAGTCTAGTAAGGTCCGTCCGTAATCCGTCAGTCATTCTCGTTGAAACCTTTTCCGTCCTGTCGCCCCCGGCTCGCCCGCGAGACACCACCACCGTACGCTCACCCACGATGCATGATGCTCAGATGAAGTCGTTCCCGCCAAAGCCTCCAAACGGATTCGGTGGAGCCCCTGCGCCGAAACCGCCGCCGCCGCCGCCGCCTCCTCCCGGAAAGCGGGGTCCGTCGCCGGGACCGATGGGGTCGTATCTCGCACCCGGTGGGACTCTGTAGAAGGACTTGTCAGCAAACGAGGGTTCTCGGATCGGTCGGCGGAACCGTGGATGCGTACTGTGCGTTGTAGCCACCGGCCCGGCCTCCTCCCCTCCCGCCAAACAGAGGATCGTCGAACGTGGGGTTCATGCCTCCGCCGCCGGGTCCGAAGCCTCCGCCTCTCAAAGGATCGTGCGGTCCCAGCCCGGGCGGATACAGATCCCTCTCCCCTATATTCAGCGGCCTCCTCTCCCCACCTATCCCTCCTCTCGGTCCGTTGACTTCATACTCGTCCTCAAACCCCGGTGGAGGGAAGTCACCGGCTGGATACGGTCTCCGTGGCTCGGCAGCCAGCGGGTCATTATAAGGCCGTGGTTGGGCGAGAGGAGGTAAGCGATCTTCGCGCAGAGGATCATGGGCCGGTGCACCTGCTGTCTCTTGTCCTGATCCCGGTCGTCTAGCCCCATTCTCTTCTCTGTTCTGACTGGCGGCATGCGCCGAGTCCTCGTATCCCTCCTTCTGCAGCCCAGGCGCCACCTTTTGAAGGATATGGATCTTCAGCAGTGACGCCGCGTCCGTTATCCGCCCCGCCGAGATGAAGTTTTTCCGTATCGACAAGGCTGCTTCGTTCGCCCCTTCGGAAGACGGCATCGTGAATGGGAATGAGGACTCGGTGAGGAACTCTTTGGGTTTGAGGTCAAAGGTGCGCACTTTGTCATCCCCAATGGCCAGGCAGTTGATCACGGCTTTGGAGCCGAGGCGGCCGATTTTGAGAAGGTATTGGAGGGCCGATTGGCTGTGAGCGTACCGGAAGGCGTAGTCGTCGGATGTGGAGGAGTTCCACTGTTTGGGCAGGGGTTGGGCGTCTGGGAGGTCTATCGTAGCTTCTGCACTGTCGTCAGTCTCTGCCAACTGGTAGAAAAGCTGTACTCCAAGGGGCACACCAATCTTGTGATCTTCCCCGAGGCCGACGAGTCGAAAGCCGACGGCTAGCATGCAAGCATGGCTCAGCAGGGCGATGGCGTCGTAAGGGTTCTTGAGTTGTGGCGATGATTCTTTGGGGAGGCTTTGGTACATGTATTCGGAGAGGTTCATGGCGCTGAAGACGTTGCCGGTGTTGATAGACATGATGGCGGTGGCGTTGCGGAGGTAAGATGGATCATCAGAGGGTGATTATTGTATGTAAAGCAGCTGTATGCGGGGTGACGCACAAGTTTGATGCCTCACGGCTTGCTTTCGGAGTTTCGGTAGAGTAGAGAACTTTAGCTCACAAAACCCATTTTTGCTGTTTCTTCTGACTCCGAGCTCTGGTTCGAATAGATACAGCCTACAGGTACACGTCGCATTTGTGAAAGACGCTGGCAAAGAAGTCTGATTCAGTCCAGAGTAAAACTGGATGGCCAAGAGATCTTCCATCATTTGCATGACATTGGGAGCCAAGCTCTTGTATGATGTATCTCCTGGTCCAGCATTTGGATTCTGAACCATGGTCTCAAAGATGATGACTTTTGCATGGGGCAACACCGGTACTACTACCACTGCAAACACCATGACCTTCTGCTTTCCCTACAACGAGAGCAGCTGTTGCTTGCATCCTACGGAATCATAGATCTTTAATAGAACTTAGTAGATATAAATAACTAATATATTTAAAATATAGTAGAGGGTCGAAGCGTTATCGATAGTAGTATACTATCTAATATCTATACTACTCGTTAATTATCTTATATATATTAAAGGAAATACTATAAGTAATCGATTTCTTACGAGGCTATTAACTCTAAAAGACTATTTTAAAATATTAGTCTTATAGTTATATTTTTTATCTATTTATATAATATTATTTCTACGCTAGTTATTTATCTTCTATTTATTAAAGATCTATTACGAGCGATAAGTATAAATTTACCTATATATCAGTATATATAATAGAATAAGATAGGGCTGAGCTTGAAAACCTTAAATTTGTATGTGCAGCCAATCATCAATTCGGGTCCTCTACGCTTTTTGGCTAGACCGGCTGACTCATCGCGGGTAAATAAATTAGCGTCCGCAACCATCAAAATCTCGCCCTCCCACGCCTCCCTCATCAAAAAAATAGGTGTACATTATTGACACATAGAATTACTTTTTTGTTTTCTATTAAAATTTTGAGATTTTTTTTTTTAAATTTTGAAGCGCTGTTTGTACTTTCCGAATTTTTAAGAATTATGAAATTAAGTCTTATAACTATTAAAGCGCAAGGAATTCAAATATCGCTCACCAAAGTTCGCTCACCAAAGATCGCTCACCTAGGTGCCTAGGTACTTACTCGATAGCCCTAATTAAATAAATAATTATGAATTTAATTCATAGGCCTTTACTCGTTTAAGTATAATAGACGTATTTTTAATAATAATAAGAGAAATATAATAGCTACGAAAAGATATTTATATTTAAAAAAGTCGCGATTAAGTAAATTTACTTAGGGCTACTATATTATCTAGATATATATATTCTATATATAAGAATATCTTTCGAGGCCTCGAAAAATATATATATAATACTCTATAAAGTTATTTCTAAGTATATTAAATACTTAATATTCTATTATCTTTATACTAATTTATTTTTTTTTTTTTTTTTTTTTTTTTTTTTTTTTTTTTTTTTTTTTTTTTTTTTTTTTTTTTTTTTTTTATTTTTTTTTTTTTTTTTTTTTATTTTTTTTTTTTTTTTTTTTTTTTTTTTTTTTTTTTTTTTTTTTTTTTTTTTTTTTTTTTTTTTTTTTTTTTTTTTTTTTTTTTTTTTTTTTTTTTTTTTTTTTTTTTTTTTTTTTTTTTTTTTTTTTTTTTTTTTTTTTTTTTTTTTTTTTTTTTTTTTTTTTTTTTTTTTTTTTTTTTTTTTTTTTTTTTTTTTTTTTTTTTTTTTTTTTTTTTTTTTTTTTTTTTTTTTTTTTTTTTTTTTTTTTTTTTTTTTTTTTTTTTTTTTTTTTTTTTTTTTTTTTTTTTTTTTTTTATTTTTTATAAATTATTTTTTTTTTTTTTTTTTTTTTTTTCCTTTTTTTTTTTTCTTTTTATTATAAAAATATTTTTTTTTTTTTTTTTTTTTTTTTCCGTTAAAGTTTCTAATATAAATATATTAGATATAAGAGTACTAGTCGAAAAGATATAATATAATATGAAATATTAATCTATTATATTATACTCTAATATAATATAAGTTATTAAGATTTATATTATCTTATATCTAATATAATATAAGATCTTAACGAAATATTTCACGATATAGTATATCTATAATATTATATTATAAAATAATATATATATAAGATATCTCGATTAGAATTTCTATATTTAGAAGTAGCTATTCTAATTATTATTCTAGTTAATAATTACGCTAAATTAATAAGATATAGAATTAAATATAATTATATTTTATTACTCTATATATATAAAAGAAAGCGAGCTATATCTATTAATAATAAGAAAAGCTTATCTTTCTCTAGTATTAACCGCGCGAAATTCGCCGGTACTTCGTAATTAAAGTTGTTAATAATAATTTTATACGCCTATTACGTATTTTTAATATCGCTATCTAATATAAAATTATATATATTATAATTATAGCTTTCTTACTAAATCGCTAATTTAGAAAAATTAATATATCTCTTAATATTCTCTTAAAAGTATTATAGCTTAATATAATAAGTTATATTTCTTTAAGCTATCTTCTCGCGATATATAAAAAAAAGATTAAATATAGAAAGTATATAAAAGTATATTTAATAATTCTAGAATAAATTAGCGATATTTATAATAATAATTAGAATTAAGAATTAGATATACTTAAATAAGAGATAACTTTATATTATTTTTATAATAGCGATAGTAGTAATTAAGATTAAAATATCGATTTAGATAACGTAGCTTTTATAATAAACTTTTTATTACTATACACTAGATTAATTATATATAAATAAAGATTTATAATTCTATTTTCTAGATATAATTATATTTAATATTTTAAGATTTCTATAGTAGCTCGATACTTATTAACTAGCGTGTTAATATTATTATATCTAAATTACAATAGCGCTTATTATTAAGTTCTATATTACGCTCTCGAGTAATTTAAAAGATAAGATTTACTTAATTATTAACGCGTATAATAGAATTATTCTTAATACTTATATCTTATTTAACTTTAATATTATTTATTTTCTTTTAATTCGAGCTCTTATCTTTATTTATATATATAATAATTCGCGTAATAAGTAAAACTCTAGACTTCTTCGTAATTACGCTCGCGTACTTTTTTTATATAATACTATTAAAATATAAATCTATTAAAACGATAATTAAAATTAGAAGCTATTTATTATTTATCTATTATATCTTATTTAATCTATTTAAGAGTTTACTTCTATTATAATAACGATATATTAATATATTTAATTTTATACTTTTTAATAATTATAGCGTAGTTAATAATTAAGATATTAGCTTTCTTTACTTTTTTAATTAATTTCTCCTTAAATATAAATATATTTATTCGCTATTATAATCTCTTAATATTTTTATTTTAACTAAGCTTATTCTCCGCTTTTTATTTTAATTAAGAATTTAGTTATTATTTAATTAATCTATATTAAAATTTTTTAATATCGCTATTATTATTAGTATTTAATATTTATTATAATAAATTATTAGACTTAATCTCTTCTACTTTAATTACTATAAAAAGATAAATTAGTAAATATATATAAAAGAATTAAAGGGTTTATACGAATATCTACGAATATTAAGCTATTCTTAATTTTAATTAAAGCTCGTTTTATTAAAAAGTGCGTTAATTCTAATAAGTATCGATATTAGAAATAAAGAGGATATATATTATATACTATTTTAAGTATATTATTATAGAATTTAATTTAAAGAATAATTATTTCTATAAAGATAGTAAGACTTGAAAATAAGAAAGTAAGAATAAAATATACGAAAATTTTAATAAGTTATAATAGTTTAATGCTAGCTAAATTAGATAAAAATAATTACTTATTAATTTACTCTTTTAGATTTTTTATCTTTTAATCTATACGGGCTATAATAATAATAATAATTAGTATATATAATAGAATAAGGTAGGGCTGAGCTTGGAAACCTTGAATTTATATATGCAGCCAATCATCAATTCGGGTCCTGTACGCTTTTTGGTTAGACCGGCTGAGTTAGCCCGGTAGCCCTTCCGCGTTTCCCTCATCAAAAATTTGTATGTAGAAGTTTTGCACTTTGAAGTACTCAGCTTGCGATACATACAGTTACTTCATAATTCCTCAAATTGTAAAGCTCGCTTTACGCTTTCTAACGCTGTAAAAATAATGAAGTTTGACCTACTATTGGTGGATTAAATGAACATTCAAATATGGTAGTCATGGTAGTCATACCAGACGCGTCCGGGATCGGATAATAATCCTTCCACCTGTTTGTGTAACTATTATTCTTCCACCATTCTATCAATTCTATTAATTCTACCAATTCCACCAATATGAACACAATCGTCTTCGGTACCCCTCGCCCAATTAGAGCCCCTTACTGACGCCCCTAGGCCACCCCTCGACGAATCCGCTACTGCTGGCAATCGAGGCCGCAAGCGAGCCTAACAGCTACCTACTACTGCACCAACTGCTTATAAACGCGTTGGAAGGTCCTTAAAAAGAGCCCGAACGGATACGTCCTCACCTATATACTCTTTCTAAGCCAGCGGTAGGTGGGTTAAACTGATATTCAAATAAGTTATATCAGACGCGTCCGGGATCGGATAATAATCCTTCCACCTATTTGTGTAACTATTCTTCTTCCACCATTCTACCAATTCTACTAATTCTACCAATTCTACCAATTCCATCAATATAAACATATTTACCCTCGGTACCCTCGCACTCAGTCAAATAAGAGGAGGATCTACAATAGGCGAATGCGGAGAACACTACGGAGAACATTGCGGAGACAGTTATCAGCAGCAGTGACACAACAGGCCTACTCTCCACAATCTCACACCAATCTACTCAGCCAGTGTAAGAGAAGTCAATACAGCAGGCGAATGCGGAGAATACTAAAAACGGAGAAATCAAGCGGTAATAGGGCCACCAT